CCGAAAACAAAACAAATGGTTTAAGTTTCTTCGCCCTCGCCCAAGCATCAAACGATGACAGCAATTTCTGTGGGAACATGAAAACCTCACTAAAAAAATTTGAAAATAATGAAACAGTACCTGAAGTAAGAGACAGTAAGAGAAGAAGGAGTTTCAACTTTACTAATGCTATTCAGACTGGGTGTAACAACTACAACCAAAATAATGAAGAGCTTCCAGGAACAATGGAAAATTATCCCAGTAATTATGGCATGTACAGTGAGCATTTACCCGATTTCCCACAGAACAAAAGGAATGCGTATATATTTAACCCAAGCGACAACCACAGCAGTGACAACATTTTCAAGAGCGAGTCAACACAGAACCCGCATGTGTATAACAGCTGCGTGGGCACATGGGTAAAACCTAAAAATGAAAACGCATTTTTCAAAGGCGAGGTGCACGAAGAGGGAAACCAAAATTATTTCCATTCTATTAATCCCATGAGGGAGAACAACTCTGAGCAGAGGAGCATGGCGAACAATTTGTCAACACCAACTTTTCCTAGCCATGACACTTATACCAATGGCATCTTCAGTAATGACAAGTTGTTCAACCACCAAGACCCGAAGTTTGGTCTCCAGAGCAAAATGGACAATTTGTCAACACCATCTTTACCTATACAAAACTATAATAACACCAACAACGTCGACGACGCATCACACCATTCAAACTTTAGCCTGGGTAACCTTAACAATGGCAATTTGTTTTATAACACAAACCAAGAAAAAGGTTTCACGAGGAACATGAACAATTTGCCACTATCAACAGAGGTTATACAGGGCGAAGACCACATCTATAATACATCACATCATTTAGAATCCAAGCAGAGTGTACTTCAACATTACCAACCATTCATAGACGATATGTTTAAATACGCGGACCAAGAGAATCACCACCAAAGCAACATAAGCAACTGTACATCCCCAAGAGACATGATACATACTACCAACAGCAGCAGTGCCAGTGCATTGAATAATATGTACACGGAAAATATCCATGAGAGACATAACACCACTGAGTCCCAATTCAAAGATGATAAAGCACAAGACGCAGCACAGAAGGAGCAGGCAGCTCTATTCGAAAGAGAGCTTGTGGCAGAACAGAAGGCAATAGCAGCTGTATTGGCAAAAGAAGCGGTTACGGCTAAGGAGGCAAAGGAAGCAAAGAA